ATTCAACGCATTCTTTAGCAGTGTAGGTGAAAATCTAGCAAAAAATATTGAGCAGGATGAAAATTATACGGAAATTAAAATCAAATCAAACCATAACTTATTCATCTTCCCCACTGATGAAAATAAAATACATGAAATCATCTCAAAACTGAAAATTAAAAAATCACCAGGTCCTGATGGCCTGAAAGCTGAAACACTAGAACTGATATCAAGTTACATAGTCAAACCTCTCAGTTTCATTATCAATAAATCTCTGTCAAGTGGTCAATTTCCTTCTGCGTCCAAAATGTCAACAATAGTACCTATTTACAAAAGTGGTGGAGAAACAGAAGTGTCAAATTATCGACCCATCGCACTAATATCAAATCTGGGTAAAGTCTGGAGAAATACAATCTGTTATCAGAAGCGCAGTATGGCTTCACCGAAAAAAAGTCAACTAATGATGCGATAAAAGACTAGCTAGCAAAATATACAATTCTGTAGATAAAAAAGCCGTGTATTGGAATTTTTCTAGACTTAGCGAAGGCATTTGATACCGTGGACCACAGCATATTTTAATCAAGCTCAGACGATTTGGGAGTAAAGAGTAAAGCATTAGACCTTTTCACTTCACTGATAGGAAACAACACACGAGAATATAAATGTATATGTATAAGCAAAACAGAAACTATATCATGTGGTGTGCCCCAAAGAACTGTATTAGGACCCTTGCTCTTCACTATATATTTGAATAATTCATTCTCCATAAGAGCACAAGGCAGCATCATGAGTTTTGCAGATGATACCATCATAGTTTACGACAGTATCACATGGAACGACTTGAAATATAAAATAGAAACTGATTTTAGCAACATCAAAAAATGACAATAGACTCCTATCAATAAATCTTGAAAAACTTTCTACTTGCCGTTCTGTAGCCTATCCACGAGCCTTCCAACATTCGAGAAGATATCACTAGAAGATGACCTTGAAATATTATCATCAAAAAGTGTTGAATATTTAGGTATAATGATAGACAGCCACCTCAGATGGGAGGTACAAGTCATAAATGTACTCGACGTCAAACAAAGAAAACATCTTTATCATAGTTATCATAGTAGGATGGGGTGGAGGATCTAAAACATATCTGAAACCACTAGAAATTATACAAAAGCGCTTTTTGAAACAAATAATATCTAGAAGTAATCGATACCCGAGTGAAGCGCTATGCGAAGCGACACAGGTTTATGATTTAGGGAAACTTTGCTTTTTGAAATTGGGACAAACACAATATCTGCATAAAAATCAACTTCAAACTTATTCTCACTATCATGAGACACGACAGAAAAATAGATATATACTCCCTTTCATGAATAAATCAATCGGTCAGAGTTGCTACCTATATCTGGGACCCAAAGTAATCAATTGTCTACCTGAAAATATCAAAAACGAACCCACAATTCAACGTTTCAATGAATCCTCCAAAAATTACATCAGAGAATTACCATCCACGTACATGAAATCAATATTAGAAAACTGAAAGAATGGATAAATTTTATTCTACCCAATACTTACTGTACTGTCCAGTCACACAGAAATATTATAAATTGAATCATCAGTAAGAAAATAGGACTATATACTTCCTCAGAATTTTATGGCTACAAATGGTCTGCTTTTTTTTATATCCATAGCATTATCTGAAAACGTAGTTATATACTATTGTGTAGAATCAAGGATATCACTAACAATTCTATTTTATGATATCGATCATGTTAAGTTGAAAAAAAGAACAAAAAAAAAGTATGTTTAGGTCTCTTTTTATATATTTATATTTACCTCTATATTCATTATGTGAAATCAAGGATATTACTAACAATTTCGTCCTATGATATTATGATTATAATAATAATAATATGTCTTTATTCATACCACGGTACAAAAGGGCGGAATTCAGTCGCAGACATTCGAAGGATGCAGGAGGCTGCTCTTCCATTCAGCCCATCACAAAGATAAATATTGAGCATGTTAAAGTTTGAGAAAGAAAAAAAAATTATTTATGTGTAGGTCTCTCTTTAAATATCAATATCTACCTCTTTATTCATTACTAACCTTTTTCGCTCTACACACAGGTATGTATGCGGTATTATGGTATACATACTATACCTCGTACATCAAGCGATATTCAATCACTCTCCTATTACGTTTATACGATATATTATCGAGTAAACATTTTTTCATTGTGAATAAATTGTCTTATTGTCTAATGGGTAAAAAATAAATTTATGAAATTTTCAATATTGTTATATCTTCTTTAGAGGCGTAATCAAATGAAAATGTAGATATGGATAGGTAGACCAACCAGATTTTTTCGGAACCGAATGTATAAAGGATGAGAATAGGAATCCAGATTTTAATTCTCAATTTTGAATAATCAAGTCATGCTCCATACTATTCCATGATGTACTTCCATGCACTGCGAATCCCCCACATAGAATACCTATTGGAGAAACATCGATCAGTGTTCCGAAATATTCTAAATATTCCTCGACCAATTACAAATTTATTCAGAGATCTGCGGAACAAGGATTTATATATAAATACCAAATGAAAACATTCTGGATAATTGCGGCGAATTATGGAACAATGGGTTTTATGAAGAACGCAACAATAATCCACAACATTCGATATATTTTTTGGAATTAACAATATAACTGATGATGAGAATATCTACCTGAATATCGGAAACTAGCTGCATACTATATCAGAACACATCGAATTTTCAATTTCCGATTATTGCTTTGATCAAAAATGTTCAACAAAATTTAATTCGTAATTAATGCTTCAGTGGAATTGATGGAAAATAACATTTATATTCAGTGGTTATTATGAAAAAAGGTTACAATAATAATAATAGTGAACATGAAAGGTGAACAAAAGATGACTAACGTTCTTACAAATATTGACTTCGTACTTTTGATATAGTTTCATAATCACAATAATGTGATATTGAACTGGCAATCGAAATAATCAATCCACTAGATATCTTGATCGCTCAATAATGAATTATATGTAAGTTAATTCCCCAAGATGTTTTTCTTCATCTCTACGAATAAAAATTCCAGTATTATTTTCATGAACTCAATTCACTATTGGAAACCTGAAAGAGAAATCCAATCGATAGTTAGTGACAGCTTGTTTGAAGAATTTTCGGATTTCCGGGCGAGAGGTACTAGAGGGGACACATCTCTGAAGATTAATTCCTGCAACATCCGCGGACTCAACAAAAACTTCAATGACGTCCACTATCATCTATAAACGAACAAAACAGATATTCTGGCATTAAGAGAAACTCAAGTGAACTCGTCCACGAACAAGGTCCTTATGCTCTGTCCTGGTTGCGAACTCCACTCTCGATTCAGGTTCAAAGGCGAAGTCTGCCTCTACGCTAAGGCTAACCTTTTATGCCAGCGTGTAGAGAGTTTGGAAACGTAAGACTTTGATGTGATGTGGTTCATGTTAGTCGATACCAAACTGACCAAATTTATCTGCTGCCTTTACCTATCGCCTAATGATAATGAATATAACAAACTCTTAGAGTTTTTATCACTCAAACTGTACTTCATTCAGGTGAACCATCCAACAGCTGAAATCATATTCACGGGAGACTTCAATGTACACAACGCAGCCTGGCTCAATTTCTCTAACAGAACAGATGATGCAGGTCGTCAAACTGGGGCCGTCGCCATCACTTACGGTCTAGAACAACTAGTCGAACTACCAACCCGCATTCCGGATGTCAACAACCAGTCTGCCAATACACTAGATCTTCTTCTCACGAGCAATCCTGATCCATATAGAATAGAAGTTTGTGCCCCACTTGGAAACTCATTACTACAACCTGCTCTTTCCATGTACCATCCAGCACCACAATTCCTACCCATCTCATGTGTCATTACAATTCGGCCGACTGAGAAGGTTGGCGAGGAGTCCGTGGTGCCAGACTCGATCGAATGCCTTGGAGATATCAAGTGCTACGTCTGAGGTTTCACTATATTTTTCGATAGATTGCTGCCATATATGTATGACGTAAGTGAGCAGGTCACCAGTTGATCTCTGATGACGAAAGCCATATTGCCAATCGTTGATGATACCTGAATGTTCCAAGTATTTCATGAGCTCGATGTTGATAGGTTTCTCCATGATCTTTGAAATAATATATAGCAGTGCGATCGGTCAGTAGTTGCTGGGTAGGGTCTTTTTGCCTTTTTCAGGAACTGGTTGTACTTTTGCAATTTTCCAGTTGGACGGAAATATCTTCAATTTGTAAGAGTAGTTGAACAACTTGCAGAAAACAGGTGTTAGTTCGGGAGCACATTTCTTGAGAACAATCGGTGGGATTTCGTCGGAGCCATAAGCTTCGTTGGTGTTGAGACCCAATGATCATTATAACAGACAATAAGGCTTCCATTTATTTATTGTCTGAGAAATCCAGACTTGTGTATAATCGACAAAGATTATAAAGTATTTATAATCAATGAAAGTTGAGATGAGAGAGTTGAGTTCGTTTTATTAGCGCACTTTCAAGAATTGGTATGTAATTTTATGAACTACAAAAAAAAACAATAAGCGGGCGTTATGATTCATAATGCCCTAATGGCGTTATTGGTATGTTGATAGCATCCGTTGCCAAGGTATCATATATATCAATAGGTACATTGAAATTTCATTTTCGAATTCTTATCGTGTGTGTTCAATAGATATAAGTAATTCAATGTTCGTCGTGGCGAATAGCCAGAAAAGGCGTTGTTTTCTGTTGAATAAACCGAGGAATATTTGATATTTCCATCACATAGAAAATGGGAATCCTCAATGTATTTCATAAAATGTATCAATTTTTCTCATGTTCATAATATATCTGAAAATATTCCTTTTTGATACGATAACTTCTTGTTGTTAAAATTGGCAAATTCTTGACTGAGATATCAGAGTGCCGAAGACGAGTACATTCTCTATCGTTATAGGAATCGAAATCAAGAAGGAATTTCAAGTTGCCGTGGATAACAACATCACCAGCTTGGCTAGCCACGATGCCAACATCAAAGAAGAGAATCGCCTAGACTACGCCAACGACTTGAAGAGTTTCTACACAAGCGTCCCTTTTGCGAAGAATCTGACGGCATTGTATAAGGTGAGTTCGAATAAAATCGTTATTTTTCATGGCTATAACAAGGTCCTAGTCGAAGGCCTAGTCTATCTCACCGGGCCGTAGCTAGCATGCCGACTGATGTCTAGCCATAGCACCATAGCGAGGTTATAGTGCGTCTCTCTCGCTGCTCTAGAAGAACTGGAAATTCCCGGCCGATCCTTTTTTTTATCGCTTGGAGCGCACGAAACGAAATCCCTATAATGTTCAAAGAACATCGTGCATTCTATGGATTGTGACCTCAGCCGCGCCTTCGACTGCGTACAACACGGAAATCTCCTGGACAAACTGTACAAAACTGGTATTAGAGGTATTCAGCATGAATGGTTCGTATCATATCTTTCAAATCGCACCCAGGCTGTCAAAATACAATATTCGAATGAGAATTACAACGACACTTTTTTTTCTGATCAGTTAAATAATGACATAGGTGTTCCCCAAGGATCTGTTTTGGGGCCAATCCTTTTTATTCTCTATATCAATGAGTTGCCATCTGTTTTGCCAAAGTCACTCACTTGTTTGTATGCTGATGATTCTTCCCTCCTATTTAAATCAAAATATTTGTCTGAATTGCAACAAAATATAAATTCTGATCTTGATAGCTTGCAAAATTGGTTTAGTGAAAACTCATTATTTTTGAATGCCTCCAAAACGAAAGCAGTAGCTTTCCATACTGCCCAAAATACCAACACGGTGGACTTTAATATTGAAATATCCGATGTTGAGATAGAAAGAGTTGACAGTATAAAATTTTTAGGGCTTTATCTAGACAGCAATCTCAATTTCCGTCAGCACTGCGATAATCTCATTAAAATACTCAATAAGCAGTGTTATCTGCTAAGAAACCTGAAAAGAATTCTAGACAAATCTGGTCTACTTTTATATTACCACGGGCAGATACAATCAAGAATTAACTATGGGATTATTGTTTGGGGAAATTCTCCACCTGCACACAATGTTTTTGTAACGCAAAAGAGAATTATCAGAACCATTGCAAACGCGTCACAAACATCATCGTGTAGAACACTATTTAAAAAATTCAACATTTTGCCTCTACCAGGTCTCTACATTCTGGAAGTTTTGTTGTACATCCATAAAAATAAAGAAGTTTTTAAACAAAACCAATCTTTTCATGAATATAACACACGTATCAGAAATGATTTTCACATACCCAAAACACGTTTATCTCTACGTCTGAACTCGTTTGAGATTTTGGGGCTGAGATTATACAATGCACTTCCGGAGTTTTTCAAAATCATAACCAAGGAACAAGTATTCAAACATAAAATAAAACAACTACTTCTTGAAATTAGCCCCTATACAATCGAAGAGTTTTTTTCCCACCTACATTAGTAAAAATGTTTTGTATTATTTTTCATCGTTGCTGCTTTGTTCGCTCACTTGATTGTTTTAATTTAATAATTTACGAATGTGTTTGTTATATACTTGTATTTTATATCTGTATTTGATATGTACTGACTTGTCCAATTGCTTTTTAAGCTCGTTTTAATGGATCAATAAAAAATTGAATTGAATTGAATTGAATTGAAAGGAGTTTTGATAAAGTGCTGTTCGATATCTTTCGAGGTTGCCAACGATAGGATGTGCTGACTGGGCTTGTCTAGTTCGTCTGACTGGTATTGCTAGTGAAGGGATGATAGCAGAGATCCGAAAAACATTTCCCGTGGAAGTATCGATAGAAAAGTGGAAGTACACCAACCTTTATACGGTGTTCCAATGATGTCAAAGAGTGAGTGAGTGTGGCGTCACCCACCAGGCGAATGGCTCTTCTCTCTATGGAATCTAAGAGCATCAGCGTATGTTTTGGTGCTGAACCCCATATTTGGAAACAGTATTTTAGAACAGGTCGTATCTGCGCTATGTAGATCATGAGAAGCTGTCGAGATGTAAAGTAGCTTTTGGCACGAAACAAGAATCCGAGTTTTTGTGAAGCAGCATTTGCGATGGATCCGACATGATTATCCCATGAAAGAGTGTTGCTGATGGAAATACCGAGCATAGATATGGTGAGCTTGGTGGGGATGGTGGTGCCAGACATTGAAATATCAGGCCTGAGTTCTGCCTTTCTAGAGAAAACACAGGCCTGAGTTTTGGTGGCGTTGAATTCAATTAGGTTGTTGGTTCCCTAGGCTGTGATTTCGGCAAGGTCTTCCTTGACAGCGTTGACCTGCCTGCGCCATGAGTTCTCAGTTTCCTGGGAAGAAATGGGAATTCTGGAAGAGAACGCAGTATGAAAGGTACTATCATCTGCAAAGCTGTGGATGGAGCAAGTTGTTACTCCCAACAGATCATTGATATGGAGAAGGAATAATGTTGGTGCCAAAATTGATCCTTGTGGAACGCCGGAATTGATGCCAATGGTATCAGACGATACACCGTCCACCACCTTGTGGAGCGATCTGCCTGAAAGGAAACTCGATAAGAGATGGCATAGCTGAGGTGGTAAGCCGTATGATGGTAGTTTGTGGAGGAGTCCTTCGTGTCAAACACGGTCGAATGCTTTCGATATGTCCAACGCGACAGCTAAAGATTCCCCGTGTTTTTCTAATGAAGCTTGCCATAAATGGGTGACGTAGGCAAGTAGATCTTCGGTGGCGAAAGCCGTATTGTCTATCATTGATGATTGCTGAGCTCCCCACATATTTGATAAGCTCAATATTGATGGCTTCCTCCATCACTTTGGAGATAACTGATAACAGGGCAATGGGCCTGTAGTTGTTGGGCAGGTTCTTGTTCTGTTTTTTGGGGATTGGTTGGACTCTAGCTGTCTTCCAGCATGATGAAAAAATACCCGACCTGTACGAGACGGTAAACAACTTTCAGAGAATCGGTGTTAATTCTGGTGCACAGTTTTTTGGGGATTATGAGTAGAATTCTATCAGGACCGTTAGCCTAATTTGTTTTGAGACCAAGCAAAATTCGTCTGATAGTGCGTTGACGGAAGACGAGTTCGGGCAGTCGACTCTCAACGGGTGGAATGTCTGGCAGCACTTTTCCTGGTAAATCTGAAGTAGAGTTTGCTGCGAACATTTCTGCATTTGCTTCCTCCTGCGATGTTATCGCGAATGTGCCGTTGGATTTTGACAGTGGTGGAAATGAACTATTGGTGAAATTTCTCCCGAACGCTTTAGCATGGGATCAAAACGAACGGGAGCCATTGGGATAATCTATGAGTTTCGATCTCATCTTGGCATTGTATGTTTCTTTCGAAGCATCTATTGTTTGTATTCTGCACTATTCTGAGAAGAAACATGATTGAAATAGCAAATCACTATCGGCCTAACCAATAAATGCCTCCATAGTATTCTTTCGATCAATTATTTCGAAAAATAAAATTTAGAAAAAGATTAGCTGGAGTAGGGATCGAACCCCGGTCATTTAACTCGGAGTAAGTATTGAAGTCATTCATTCATCTTCTACATTATACAAATACAACACGTATGTCTGACACATTTACATAATATAGTCATGGCACAACTGTGAGTGTGCCTGATCGTTTCTCCACTGGCGCAGAAGTGGCTGGAGTTGGCCAAGGAATGTGAGAGGATATGTGAGGTGTTCGTCGCAGCGACCTATCTCCTAGGGCTAGGCCCTTTTTAGGTAATCTCGCTAAACGTAAGGGTGGGGAAGCGATCAGAGTGGGAGGATTTCTTAGAGTTGAAGGAAAAATAAAGTTCCAAAATAAAAACCTCCTTTTTGTTTGTGTCGGACAGTTGTGCGCATGTGTTTCCACATGAGCACGTCACACTATTCGATTGAGATATCACATCATTCCATATCGGTGCGTTCGTAATTGAAAGGTTATGGCTCATTCACTTTAAAAAATAGCAGTACACTCAACCAAGACGAATTGATCCCTGATGAGCTACCCAACTGTCGGTTGGAGATAAATTCAATAGGATGAACCAGTACCTATTCATGATGTTAAGAAATTCAATTTTGATGATAATCAATTAGAAATAGAGAGCACGTAAGAATTTGTCCAGTATTATACCTACCTAACTTCCTACTACTACTAAGGTAATGGGCGAGTGGACTTATAATGAATTATTGGCAATCAATAACCACACTGTGTCATTAGGGACCTAAATTCATTTTTGCAACACTTCTCACACTCTTTTATGTAAATAATGAGTGTATGCGATGTTCGAAATTGTTGAATTTCGGAGTTCATTTCAAACGAACCACCATGGCCACTATTTGGCGATACGTCAAATGAATGGTGACGTCAGCTTCCATACTGTTTCGTTATTGGTCAGATAATTTTCCATTCCCACTCACGAAGCAAGGTTGTCAAGTCACCAATTATTATAATCAGATTATCGAAAAGATGTAAGAGTCCTGTCGTCGAATAGAACATAATAGGAGAAATCCATGCAATTATATTTCATTCTTGACTCTTTCGAGCAACCCGCATGTCCAAAAATTCGTAATACTCGATAACAAAATTTCATGTAAATGTTGGAGACTTCGCAATATTGTGTGGAATGCTGAAGAGGTACAAAACCACGACCACAAGTCATGCGCGCGGTGTTGTCACGTTCATCGCTTCAAATGTCCTTCAGTGTGAATTGATGGAATAACTATTTACACAAATGTCCCAGCATACATTCAGATATGGGGCATCAATGGCCTAATATATTTTTCCCATACCTGACATCAGCGGCCCAGTAAATGGTCCCATATGCGGGACTCTATATATCAGTACACTGCGGCTGGCAGTTGGTCCCAGTGCTGGGTACCCAGCAATTATATTCAGTTCCCCGGCAAAAGGCCAGTACAACATAATCGACACATTGAGTTTCCCATAGCAAGCCCAGCTTAATATACATAAATTATGGGACTTTAATGGCCAATTGACGACATTGGTTACATACTATCGAGATAGGGGAGGGGTAGGGGTTTTAGGGGTCCAATAGATCTGAAAGTTTTAGTACCTCTTTATTTCACAATATATCGCTCTCATTATGAATCAGACACATACCAGATTCCAAGAGAACGATTTTATGAATGACACAATGATATCTTATTGTTAACCTCTATATTCTTCAACGAAACTTCTCGGAGTGACTGCGCACTGGTTGGTATTTGGGATCTACATCTTATTGGGTAGCATTTCTTCAAAGTTGATTCTTCGTTGTGAGGTACTTCTGAAATATAGAATGCATTATTAGTTAAATATTAGTGGCCTTCGAGTTGCATGAGTTTATAACTTGATAATATAGTCTGATGACGTGATAACATGAAGCTTTCCAATTCTCATTATTTTCTTGGCACAGGTATTTCTGTAGCTGAAACCTTATTGTCATTTAGTTCTTCGATATAGAGACAGGTTCACATAACCTAAGATTGCTTTTGAAAGCAACAAACGAGTTGAAAATGATAGTTGCTTGTGGAGAAGTGAAGCCAACTCTAATTATATTATGATCATTAAATATATTAATATAAGGTTACGAGATACCAAACACATGCATTTGATAATGAAATTCTAAACACTATGTAGGTAGATTGATACTCACTCAATATTATCAATTGAGAATACTCCTGCCATCATAAATAACCACCAGGGAAACAAACTAGTACGCGATCACCACTCACGAGAGTCAGCCATCTTAGTAACATATAATATTGATCAGCTGATTGTTGATGTAGACGTTCCGAGAATATCCACCAGGAAGACGAGTAGCGAACATGAAATTGGCCAGCAAAGGGCCAGATCTCGTTGGTATTCAATTAGTTCCAGACATCTTACCATCATAAGGCCATCATCGTATTTTCAACTGCTGGTTACTTGGCATAGGAAAATCATCGGCCCATTACCAATACCTCAGCATCGTCACTATCCCAGACTAGCCTGCACTAGGCCGGACTTCTCCCGCTAGTTCAATGTTTGCTGGGGTATTATAAGTAATGAGGCACAAATCATTAGGGGACATTTTGCAACAATTGATTTTGTATTGCCAAATATTAATATCACCAATACATAATTGAGAATTAATTAATGTTTGAATGAATAATATTTCTGAAGTTCCCAATCGTTTGGCAACTGTGCTATAGTCTGCCCCTACTTACGAAATCGTGACATCAGTTTTTACTTTCCTATCCATTTGAAAATTACCGTGGCATTATTGATGATTTTAGCACCTACAAATCGACTGAAAAATATTGAAAAAATATGTGATCGAAAGGTATTTGAGTGATGAATCTGTTTGAGAAATGAAAAAAAAAATAGTCTACTCGCCCATTCCCTATAGGTAAAGGGCAATGCACGTTCTTCAACTCATGTTCAGCTTGAAGGACGAATATTTTTGGAATGAAAATTTCATGTGAACATAAATATGCGTGGGAGCTTCATTTTCGATACAAAGGAAGTAAAAGTTTGAGTCTTTCTCAATGGTTTTCTAGTTTTCTCCTACATCTTTGCAAATGATAAATTGGAATTTGGTGTACCTGAAAAAATCGAAAAACTAAATATTTGGGGCTATTAGCCGATTTCGATCACCTACAGGGAGATACCTTTTGGGGGGGTTGAACCAAATTCAATATTCTTGAACTTTTGTGCTGCCTCTGCATCCAAGGAGACATTAATTTGATTCTCTGTTAGATTTGAATACTTCTTGCTCCCATTTATGTTTTTCGAACACTGTTTGGATGTGGAGATGAATGCCACAAATTATATTCACTTGTGATAAATCTTCATTTTCCGAACACATGTACTGTATTCGACTTTTTTTATACTTCACCTGGAATGATCGCGAGCTTTCATGAGATTTATTACTGAAACTCAGAAGCAAAACTTGAGAAACAAAGAAGAAAATATGAAATTATCACACCACCTGTATATCGATGAGATGACCCCTAGCATATTTATATGTTCACATAGGATTTTTATCTTGAAATAGTATCTTCATTAGGCAGATGCTACAAAAAACTGACGCACCCTGTATAATTTGGAGACTTAAGGTTTAAAATATTTCTCTTGAAAAAAATGGCAATAACAACGAATCAAAAAAATCGGGGAATCACAAATACAAAGAATAATCAATAATTCAATGTCGCAGAATAATATGATGCACTACATTATCGACAGTTCAATTCGGAATATAGCATTGATTCAAACAGTTATCGATCATCAATCGAAATTCAGTACTGAAATTATTGAATTGCATTATCTCATCCATTCTAGAAACAGTTTCGATAACCTCCTGAAGATTGAAAATTGACCAACTCGTCGAAGTTATTTCTACGAAATGTTGAATAATATTACGACAATGATAGAATTTAAGAAGAAAACGACATCTTCTCAGTATCAAGTGCTCCATTCCTGAATATTGAATTGAAACATGAATTGCAATCAGATATCACCTGCTCATCCTGTATTGTTTCAGGTTATAGGAGACGGCCTTTATACCATCGGCATTATTGAGCATGCTTACCATCACAGCAAATATGCTGACACATACTTTTACAAGTTTTCATACAAGGGTCCGATTAACGGATTGGACAAAGTAATCAACAAAGAGAAAGGTAAGATACTTATTGCTACCTCTCAACGAACTTGATGCAAAGAATAATTGATTTTGGTGTACTAGTATATGTATCTTTGTTGGTATGTATATTGTACATACCAACTGGCCATCGACCATTCGAGAGGTCGTTCAGCTCATGTGTGTTGTGTGTCGGCTTTGTTACTAACTCCGTACGCCACATTATCATCAGCACTGTTAATTGAATTACAACATCGAATCGTGCGAAATCATCTACGGCCGAGGCTAGGAAATAGTAGATTGTTTTATTAGGATCAAAAGTGACACTTTGTTTGACAAGCGAATTTTGCATTTGCGAGGCGGAGCGTTTGGCGAAGCCGAGCGGAAGCAAAATTTGCGAGTCGAACAAAGTCACTTTTGATCCGAATGAAACATGCTATTTTTTCTGCAACCGAAACAATTAACTCAAATAAACATGTTGTGCAACAAATATTGACAAATAATCCATGTGGTGAGAATATTCTACCTGCATTAACAGCAGGTTAGGTTTTTTAGGATGTTCGAATTGTAGTTTCGATATAAAATACAACCACAGAGTGACATATTTGTGTATGGACCAGGTGCTCTAATGGCAAATACCGCGCGAGTGCCAGCTATAGGAACAAGACGTGGAAAATGTTAGGTTAGTGAGCATATCCACAATGATAATAGTGATTATCGGTGATTATTTATTCCTCTCCATAATACACTGTGTTTGACTTGATAATCAAATGAAGCTAAACAATATCGTTGTTTGAGACAAAAAATCGATATTGCTTGCCGTGATTATCCAAAAACAAGTTATCCATCCCGAGATTAACGAATGAAATACAGATCAAGCAAGTATTTGAATCTTGAAGGCTTCTCTGATCAAAACAAAAATACTTAACTGAGATGTTCATAATTCCAATACTAAACTATGATAATGTTTATTTATATCTTCAGCATGGGTATGAAATGGCAAATCTGCTGAAATCGGAAACAAATCAGGCATGCGTCTCAACCCAAATAACCAACCGTCACAATGTTGTTTATTCTTGATGACGTCCAGTAGATTCTTTTTAGTTCCTAGGAGCTGAAGTTCAACTTCAGCTCCTAGGAACTAAAATTCAACTTCAGCTCCTAGGAACTAAATATGTTGCCTAGCAACATACCTATTTTTGTGTCAGTAATAGAAACGTCAATTTAAGAGCTAATTTTGGTATCAAAATGGACGACTTTTGTGTCGGTTGCAGAAAAATCGTATTATGAGTAGAAACTATCTGCTCTGTCAGGTATTCGAACCAAACAAACCTTTCGATATTATGTTCTGATTACTAGTCGAGCGCCTCAACCACTGCGCCATTCTGCCGTCAAAATAATGATCTCATAGGTACAAGGATTCCCGTATGTTTTGACCTCTACTCACAGTTTCGAATATACGAGCTGGAAAAAACGTCAATCATGAAAGTTGTAGCTTATCATTTGTCCTATATTCTGGCACGCCTTGTTCAAATAGAACACTGTATATTTTCCACTCTAGTGAAAGATGTTTCTCTATTTTTCGCAAATATATAGTTTGCTAATGTTTCCTTAGGATATTTTTCACTTATTTAGCATTGAATCAAAGTTGCGTCAATAACATTTTGATGGTTGATGTGGACACATCAGAAATTTCATGGAAACAAAGAAGGCGATTTTTGACATCTCTGCTAGTTTTTCAATGAAAATGGGTTATTCTGTAGAGAAAAAATAAGAGATAGTAGGATTATATTATGGAAATATTGCAAAAATTTCAGTAGTGCAGCAAGAATTTAGTCGAAAACGGCTCAAAGGAAGAATAACAAACCCAGGGGGCCAGGTAGCCGTGCGGACAGAGTGTCAATATTCTAATCCGCATTCGCTTGTTGGTCGTGGGTTGGATTCCTATCGACTGCAGTAATTTTTCTGATGGCCCAAGGCCCCCGTCATTCCCTACTCACACAAGACTCTCGAAGACCTCTGAGGGTTGCTCGTAAGGGGGCGACCGAATGACGGATAGAACAATTCTAACAATATATATTTGAAAACAGAAGAGGAAGATCCCACAGGAGTAGATGAAATACAGGGTGTGCCATTAAAAAAAACTGATTTGGACTCAGTAACTCCCTAATCATGATTACCTCTAAAGTTGTGTTTGTAGTGCTCAAATATGTGTTGAATAATAATTATAAGATTACTAATAAGGATACTGAGACGATGAAGAATACTGGTAATATTGATGTCTTCATCTTGGTAGAAGGTATTATGAGTAGTAATACTTTATGTACTTCAAAATATTCGTGTTATATACATCGATAACTTGTTGCATAATACAAAGAGTGCCAGTTAAACAGTTCAAATGTTGTTTCTGTGTATAACTGACACGAATTGTAATTGTGCAGGAAGTTTGGGATGTATAACCGTGAAGATTTTGAAGTTCGAATAGTATGCGATGCGATTATCATTTGAGAAGTTCGGAACGAACGTCAAAATCGGACGACGCGCTTTGTTTGTATTTAACAATATAAAGTGGTTACTATGGAAATTGGAATAATTCCAAATTCCTGATTGGTGAAACTACTCTATGTATATTCAGTAGTGATTCTATGAGTAATTCAAAATATTCGGGTTATAGATCGATAACTTTAGGCATAATCACAAAGAGTGTCAATTTGACATTTAAAATACCGACCGCAAAGCGGGAGGATTATTCTGTTAAATAACACGATTTGTGATCACGCAGGGAGTTTGAGATGTATAACAATGTGTGTGTGAAGTTCGAATTATAATCGATACGATTATTTTTTTAGTAGTTCTGAACGAACGTCAACATTTCACGACGCGATTCTTTTGTATGTAAGAATATGAATTGGTTACTATTGAAATAATTCTGAATTTCTGATTGGCGGAGTTACTTTATGTATATCCACGTATATTTAAGATTATACAATGTAGCTTAGCTCAATTGAAAGTTCTGATTGAATACGAAGGAAACGATCAGAGGAATATGATAACATCATCGAATAATGAAAGTACCTACTAAATTGGAAAGTTTGAATGAACATTTCCCGAAATTCTTTTGTCGATAAGGAACTGATTTGAATTATCTTGCTTGATCTCTGATAGGTCTCAACAAAACTGCTCATGTAGACGAATTGCCACTCTTATACTCCTACCGACTGGATCTGGATGTTACTCCCTCAGTAACAGACAATCTGCTTCAGAAACGTATCAGGAAGTTATGGACAAATTTCGTCAAATATCAGTAAGTGAATATGAAAATTTCAGGAAACACAATAAGGAATCCAAGGTTCTTGAATCGTTTCTTTTTAGTTTTGAAATTTTTCAAAGTTTTGTAGGAGAACAAGAATTGAATACATTTATGTAGGTTAATCGAGGAGGTGGACCAAACATTTTTCTAACTTCTTGGAAATTTTTTCTCCTTCACCACTACGTATACGAAATACATATTTCACGCACTGAATGTCAGGAAGGAATTGAAAATATCGAATTTGAATTTTAATGAAGTTAATACGATTCACGCCCATGAAACAAGGCAATTCAATTTATTGATAGCAAATAATTATAAGTCAAATTTTGGTAAACAATCAATATTCCATAATGGAATAATTTTGTATAACTCCTTACCTAATGAGTTAAAAAATATAGAAGAAGCAGAAAAATTTAAAATGAAATTAAAGAAATATCTGCTCAGTAAACTTTAATAGTACTAATCATTCACAATTTGATTACTTGTAATGAATTATGATATTTTCATTTTATATTTTATTATAATTCTTTTTTTTTAGGAAAAAACAATAATGTGCAATTATTATTGTTTTGATTTATTATGTTTTATATGTATGTTTTGTTGTATATATCCCTATTATAAACAATAATGTTTCTTGGGGTAATAAAGACAATCAATCAATCAATCAAATACACTAAAAAATTCTTGTCAAAACTACTTCGCATATAAGTGAGTGATAATTTTTGTCGGTTACTCGACCAAAACTACTTTGTCCGATTTGGACTTTTTTTGGTTTCAATGACGCTATCTTCTCAATATTAGAGAGTTGAAGTGTTGTCATGAACGTTAACGTAAACGTAGAAATTGACAGCTACGCATGCGCATTTTCCAATTCTTCACTATTGCGTTGTTAGTGGGCTTACGGGTGTGCGTTATCTCACGTTGCTTCACGCATACCTTAAATATCAACGTACGTTAACCAAACTATACTCGAAATATGCCGATGAGTCAAAATTATCGAATTCGAGATCACCAACGAGTTCTGCATCAAGGAGTCCTCTAATTTTGACAAGAATAAATGTTCGAATCTAAACACACAACCAAAAATGACCAATACAAACCGAAAACAAAATGTATTATTACGTTATGATGACAGTGACGACCGAAGTGGCGACTTCAACTCAATTTAACGACAATACGTAAACGTTATTTTTCGTACGTTAACGTCTATGTGGAGGTCTACGTACAGTGATTACTTCAACTCTCTATTGGCGTGTTAACTCAATTCGCAAAAAAAAAACGTTTTGCTGAATGAAGAGTATAGCAATTGTAGCGTGTTTTTTTTCATGAAATCTGAAATACTATGTATATTAGAATGTAACAGTTACATTATCAAGTTGGAATTGAAATTACACTTTAGCCTTTTCTTCTTTCAACATTCCTCTTTTGGATTCGATCCATTATCTTCCTCATTACTCCAGAAACACAGTTTTATAGCATATCATGATTTCATTGAATTCAATAAGCATCTTTATAAGCACATAAGTGGTAGGTTATGGTCTGGAGAGGCATTTCTTTGATTGAACGGACGGAACTTGTGATCATAAATGGAAGCCTCACAGCTGAAAGGTACATATTGGAGTTTTTTGAACCACATAAAGTTTGTGAGGATTTTTGTTGAGATGATGTCAGGCTCCACGTCGCCCGAGTTACGAGAAATTATCTATAGGATGTTGGTATCATATGGCCAGCTCGGAGCTCGGATTGAAATCCCATCTAGTATCTCTGGGACATTCTTGGAAAGAGATTACTAGACGAAGGTAACTTGAATATTTTGAAGGTTTGGTAGAGACTGACCCAAATTTGGGAAGACATTGAAAAAATTGCCTAAGATCTCTTAGATCAACTATGGGCCGTCTTTCCCAAAAACTTCATGCCCGTGGTCGATAAACTCGCTACAGTCGCTACAGTCACTACTGACTTCGTTTTTTCGTTGTTATATTTGGATATTATTAATAATTTTCCATAAAATCATGTTACGCTATAAAATGGTGTTGCTCGTGTGAAAGGAAAGATAATGGGATGGATACAATGAAACAGTGGAATTTTGAAAGAAGATAAGTCTAGAGTTTCATTTCTATTCTCACTCGCTAGTATAGCTATAACATTGTACAGGGTATTGATTGCTACAGCCGGTATATGTACGAAAGAGATTTTTATGCAAATACAGATTGAACGCAAATGTTCAGGAATAGATAACATGTCACTCAAAACAAAAAATGTTCAAATCAGACAAACAGTTTTGACGAAAATGTATATCTTGAACTCTTGAGAGATATGAGATCTTTGTATTTCAACTTTTATGGTCATCAATCAAATCTGGAGAATCATTTATTTCTGAATATTCAAAAAATTTCCATAATTAGGGCAATTCAATGATTCAGTTCAACAATATCCTTTGAATCGAGTAAAGCATATAACGTAATTTAGAAGGATATTTTTCGACATTCTTCGACGTTCTGAGGCAAAAATTTCTTCGGATTCCGATCGCGAAATACTTCAAGGCAATCAGTTCTCGATCACCAAATTAGCATTTCGTGCATTTCAACAAAAAATACTCTTTTAATCCATAGAAACAATGACAGACAAATTGAAAACTATGAAAATAATTTCTTGGTTGAATCACAAACAGTATTTAAGAATCCTTCATGGTCTGATTTCTATAACAAACATCATATTTATCATAAAATGAGAATAACCTGTATCTTCATTATTTCGTTTAGGAACCCCACTCCAAACAAAGATCCTCTATTCGAAAATGTGATATGGCCCAAAGTCAAACCAGAAGAAATTGAATTCTTCGAAATAGACGAACACGTCACATTGGGAAAGAATCCTAGATTTTTCCACCAATGGAAAGCTCGCTTCGACAGGTATCTGGAACGTCCACTCATCACCTATCACTGAGCAGAGAGTCAGAGTAGTTCAAAGGAAGGTTATGTGTAATAAACGTAACTCACAAGACGAGCGATCCTCAGAAGGACCTGAGGAAAACGCTTCCTAGCATCATAAGGTCGACCATCACACTAGAATTTGTTAATTTGCTTAGTATTGTGTTATTAAGACCAAAGACAATAAATGTTTCGATGCACTTCGAATTATTTCACCATCATATACACCGACAATCATTTACACCATTAACAAATAAATGCAACAGGCAACAATCAGTAGATAAGTCATGATGGTCAGTGGTACCAATAATATTATACATAGTGGAAGCCACTCTTTATCATCTGAATGAGGGTAGTAGCCCATCTTCTACGTCTATAATGTGTTTTCTTCACGTTTTTTTTTGCTATGATAATGAGATATTTATGATGAAAGTGTCATAATATAAATTTACGACACGAATGAAGGTAGGATATTATTCAACCTACTATCAATAGCGCTGATTATTCATACAGAAATAGTTATTCATTAAACAAGTGGAAAAAGTAGTAGATTTTAGCTCCAGGTTGTGTTGTCTCCAGACGCGTAGCAGAGGGAGACAAAAAACCGTGAGCTGAAATCTAATATTCTTCCAGTGTATAATACACTATTTTTCCTGTGAAAGAAGAAATGACGAATCAATATTGAGGAGATATTACATTATATTGAAATCTGAAAATTATCGACGTGAAATTTTAAGTTTTCAACAGTAGGGACACCTGCGTTGTAGACATCTTTATCATTCATTTGAAGTTATCAAATATCTGATGTCACTTCTGTCAGTCTAATTCTGTGATTTGATTTGAAAAAATTGCGAACTTAGTGGTTGTTTAGTAATATACGTAACCGCGAAGTCGAATGGAAGATAAAAGGACTTGCAGTTCTTTCTCGGAGACGGTATTATCGACGCATTATTCGGAACTATAGCACAACAAAAGCCATCAACAGTGTATTTATATGTGATATATATATATATATATATCCGATAAAAAAGTACTCACTTTTTTCTCACGGAGAAAGAATAATTTATATTGTACTGTAATCAGAATTCAGAACTTCATTGAATAAAAACAAAGCTGCATCCTGCATCATCATTATCCATAATAAATGGATAATAAGTGTAATGGATGATGAATGGAAGTAAAAAATGAAATTGATAGCAAATAAAATCCAAAAATAAAGCAAAGTGAAAGAGTAAATACAAAACACACATGACACAGCTGACGATCGAATCAAAACAGAACTATAATTTTGATTTGACAATGACAAATGACTGGCATTCCGTAAATAAACCACAATCATAGTCACCAGTAGATAACCACTGTCAAAATCGTTGGTACCTGTCCTGAAAGCATCGGTAACTCCTGTTGATTCACGGAACGTATCCTATTTCTTTCTTGTTGATTTCACAGAGGTTAGGAAAATCTCAAGGCATGTTCCATTTTCACTCACCTTTACTTATTTCTATTAACACTTTTAGTTTAGTCTAGTTCATCAAACACAGCAGGTGGAAACAAGAAGAACACTCGAAATAGTTATAAAATACCGCAAATACCTTCAGTGTAGTTTGTATATATGGTCTCCCAGTCTTTACTTACAATTGAAACTCATAACCTCAAAGTAGTCAACCAATGGGAATTGGGCATGTGTGAAGGGGAAACGCTACAGCGCAGCAAATTGGTGGAAACAACAAAAACACTCGGAATAGTTAGAAAATACCGAAAATGCTTTCAGTCTCCAAGTCTTCACTTATTACTTATAACCTCAACAAGGTCACGGAGAAACGCTACAGTGCGAGAGCAGAAAATGATGATCTATGCGGTGGGGAAACGCTACAGCGCGAGACCACGGGTACTGATCATCCCAGCGGCGCGGAATCAAGTTTGCAGAGAATTTACAGCCGAGAGTCCTAGTAAAGTCATGTAGCTATTATATAAGCTTTTATATTGACATCAAATTTTCACATATCAGTTACATCATAGTTACATTACATTTTTATATAATCATGGGGTCCAAATATTTTAGAATTGTTATGGAATATCCACGTAAATATTTTATATGAATACGAGGTTCACATATTTTAGAGGTTTTATGGAATATTTACGTAAATATTTTGTATAAAAAATTTCCGTTGATGTTATATTACAGTGGTGTAAATATAACAGATGTGTTTGCTGAGTATAAAAAGTGATATTTCATAACCTCCAAACAGAGATGAAATGCCAAACTTTTTTCCCGTCACAGAAAAAAAGATAATATTCCTTGAATTAATGATTTACTAGGAATATGTAACAAGCAAGCGTTGCAATGATAGGGTTGAGCACATACCGCAATTGCGAACTGTCAACTTTGACGCTTTCATTTCAATTTGAGAATAGTATAACAAATTTCGACCACCATCTGACACCCAAATACAACGAATTAAATGGACATAATTTGCAGTTAATTTTGCGATCTAATAACAAGATGGAAATTATTCCATTTGGTACCAATTGAATTGTAAATCTCGAAAAACCAAACTGTGCCACCTCTCAATCTGAGCCAAATCCACGGTACAGCGATTTATTTGTTGCCATTATTCCGGATATGTGGAAACGAGTTGAAACGAAGAGCGAGTGATTGGTTACAATGTTTTTTTTGCAAATATCCAAACGTTCGATTCAAACTCATCTTAGTTGATGGCAGAGCGTCAAATATTACCGAGAGTATTTCGACCTCGACGAAAGAAAATATTCGAAGAAACATTGTATAACTCATGTTGTGCTCTTATCACAAGTATTCTAATCCACATTTTGAGTTCAACACTGGTCCACCGGATATTACCTTTAGAGAGCCATTTTTCACAAGAATATCTATATATGTATACAGAGTGAGTCGGTTTCACGTAGCAGGACTTCAACAGCTTATAGAACACATAGATTTCCAAGACGAAATATTCATACAAACAAAATATGCGTGGAAGTTTCGTTTCCGAAATTCAATATTCGTCAAAGTCTGAGATTTGTTCTGTGCCTCTCAAAAATTCTCATACGATTTCCGAAATAGTAAATTGAAATTTGGAACACATATTACACTTTCAAAATTCCATATATTCGAAGCTATTGAGCGTTTTAGATCACCCACAGGGTGATACACTTTTGAGGGCTGTACCCAATTTTACCCTCTTGACATTTTTTGCATGTTGTATCTGCATGCAATGAGACATCAATATGAATTCTCTCTATTATTTGAAAACGTTTCACCTTCATAAATATCCTAATCAAAAACTCCTTTGGTATTCCGCAATAATTGATGAGATTATTAGAAGCTATTATAATGTGTGTGTTATAAAACTCAGTGTCAGTGGCAAAGCTTGCGAAACACTAAAAAACAGCAAACTATGACACCGCTTGTATGTGTCCCTGTACACGTCTCTACAAAATCTTAGCACATAGTCCTGAAGCCAAAATAAACCGGTTTGAAGCAACTTATCTCAGTCAGAAATTGCTCCGTTTTCGAGATACAGGGTGTTAGAGTGTAAAAATAAAAATCGAAGTTCACCTCAAAGAAGTATTCTGAAAAATACATGTTAGCACTGCTCATTCACTCACCAAACTACATCCACGAATATGAAAGCAAACATTTTCAATTCAAAATAATTTGAATATTCCGGTGCTGCATCAAACCCTAAAATCCAAAATATCTCGAAAACGGCTTACTCAACCGAATTTCTACAAGTTTACCTTTTTTGCTCGATAATATTCACAAAATCATTTCCATATCAGAAAATGTGAAAAACCACACATTCCAAACCATAAGAAGTGCATTGGTATGCGCCCTCTAATGGCCACAGTGAGATGGTGTCTATATTCGGGTTCCGCATACCAAAAACTTCCTGGCACCCAATTTTCGAGATGATTCGTCCATAAATGTTTATACATTTTTATTTTTCATCTTTATCACCATGTATCTCAAAAATTTTGCAATTCTGGACTGAGATAGGTTGCTTCGAATCGGCTCATTCTCACCTCAGGAATATGTGCTGTGATATTGTACAGACCACTTGGAGCTACTATACCTTTTCAACTTCAATTTCGGAATCGGTGAGTTAAATTTCGGAAAAAGTAATCTCGATTTCAGAATTGGTTAGTTCGATTTCAGAAATGGTGAACTCAATTTCAGAATCGGTGAGATGAATTTCAGAAAAAGTCCATTCAATTTCAGAAATGGTAAGTTGTATTTCAGAATTATTATTGGTAGGTTCAATTTCAGAAGATGAAATCCTTTTATATGTTTGAAATGTTTTCAATTGCAAAAGAGAAGATTGTTTACAGTGGATGGAACGATGTTTGAGAGCCCTATGTTGAATCAGATTGAACATATATGGGGTGCCTTCAAGTCAGAAGTGAAGAGCTCCTTGCAGGAGCATCGCCAAAGGGTCATAGCTGGGGATCCGAACAGATTGCTCAACCAGATAGAATTCAGACTGCGATGTCTTGAAGAATGTGCAGATCATTCAATGAAAATGATACCACCTCAAATGTGTTTGCATTCTTATAATCATGTACAACGCCACTATCTTCCAGCGATTCAGATGGAAGGCATCTGTGGATTAAATTGTTTTTGAAAAGTTGAATATTTTAAATATGGTTTGTTAATCTCACATGCAATTGGAAACATTTCGAACAAATATAAGGATTTCTTTATGATATTGAACCTACCAATTCTGATATACAACTTAGCATTTCTGAAATTGAATGGACTTTTTCTGAAATCTCACTGATTCTGAAATTGAGTTCACCATTTCTGAAATCGAACTAACCAATTCTGAAATCGAGATTACTTTTCCCGAAACATAACTTACCGATTCCGAAACTGAAGTTGAAAAGGTATAGTCATATATGTATGTTCATACATATGAGATTTTCATCTTGAAAAAGTATTTTCTTCGAGCTGTTGAAGTCCTGCTACAAAAAACTGACTCCTCTTGTATTTCCTCCTTAGGTAAGCACGATGTTTTTCGAACATGATACGTATATCTTTCTGTACAATCCAAAATATGGAAAAAGACATAGAGACAAAGATGTGGCAAGCAATCCAAAATCAAATAGTGTGGCCGGACGGAAACGGTTATCAAGTTGGTAACGATTAGGGATTTTTATGACGATCCGAGCGAAAGCATCAATCAATAGGGACA